TTTTGGAACAATTTGACTGAAAACAAAAGGATTTACTTACAAAAACCCTGCCTGCCAGTGAAAGAAGAATTAAGGCAGGAACACTGAATGTGGGGGGTTTTAAACGTATTTTGTTCTTTGCAGCACTCAGCACTAAATTTTTTCCTGGGTACTACCTGTTTAAACTTTTTCCTACTAAATGCCAGCTTGTTCCTTATGCTAATATAAATATTGCAAAAAATGCATTTTATTCCTCCTTAATACCATAGAAAGTAGTGGTATTATTTTGGTATTTCAGTTCCTGGAGAGTTAATGGCTCCAACTTTGGAAGAAAACAAAACAAAACACAGCTGCAATCCTTTTTTTAAATAGCATTTAAGTAGAAAAAAATCCACAATTTATCAGGCAGATTAAACACCATAATTATGGTGATATGTTTTTACATTTCCCCAGACTTTCTCAGAGGCACTGGCTATTTCAAAGTCCTGTAGATAACGTGATTAATAAACAGTTAATCCCTCCCCCGCCTTGGCAACCCTGGGACCAGGACAGACTGATTTTGCTATAAGCTTTTTTTTTTTTTTTCCCCCAAAATTCAGTTATCTAGGCAGACTTTGTTTATATGTGGTTTCAAACTATGCTGATACTAGTCACTCCCCTGGACCTTTAAGCTCTACTAATACACCTTTCAGCATCATACTAGTCCTGGTGGTTAGTTATTTGATACACCTTGCAAGAAGTGCCACCTCTCATAGGAGCTGATAGATTTTTCATGTTCTTTCCCTTCAGTCCCTTCTCAGACACCAAAAGCCAGAAAGGCAATTCCCTCCTCAGCAAGCAGCGTAGCTTCTCAGCTGGTTTTCTGGCAGCTGTATTTTACCTAGCTTGTAGCGTGCCCTCTGTCTAAGACAGCCGATGAGGACCAGCGATGGTCGGCACCGATGCCCTTCACAGCCCCTGGCAGCACCAGCTCTGTCTCCCAGTTTCTTTGACTGATCTGCAGCCCGTTGTAGAAATTACTGAATTTCAGCAATACTGTGGCAAACCGCCATGTTGTAAAGCGAGCTCAGACCTTGGTGATCCAAAGTTGTATGTCGGTGGAATGTTGTTTCCAGGCATTTTCAGTCATGCTAAGGGCTTAGCAAAATATTGAGACCTGCTGAAGTTAACACTCATAAAGAAGTGGTTTTCAGGAGCTAGGCTGAGATACCAAAGTAGCTTGTCATCCCCATTTCCTTTGTGTATAGGGCACTAACCAGCTCAGACCTTTCAAGTAATTTCTAGTTATTCTGTTTGGAAATTTTATGGTTTATGTACTAGAAGTTTACTTTATTGCTATAGTTTTTAAAAAACAAAATTTCTCCTTTCAACAGAAAAGTTTCTTATAATTATTGAGAATCAGTAATACAACTTTTAGAATCCCTCAAGCCATTATTTCCTCTAGCAGTCAATATGACACTTAGATTTATTTTAATGACAGCAACATCGGCAAAAGTTTTATTTTACTTTATTTTAAATGACTGTTAGACACGACACCCATGTCTAAAGGTATCTCTTCCCATTTCCATCATGTGTTTTGGCTTAAGAAGAACAAAGCCCTGACATCACTTGACTTCCTTTCTGCTAGATCCTAGGCTTTTAGCCAAAGGAAAAATGCAGAGGAATTTTATCAGGAATACAAGAAAAAGTTCTTGAATACAGCATGTAAGTAAATAAAGTTTTTTCTATGATCTTTAACAAGGTAGTTTACCTACAGGAACACTTTGCTAAGATACAGCAATTCATGCAACTACAGAACCCTGTAGGTTCCGGATTGGTTTGAGATATAAAAATAAACCCTTCTGCCCCCATATTCTAGTGAGCAATTTTCCTTCTTGCTAATAATTATATATTGTTTATCTAGAATGTTGTTATATACAATATAATTAGGACAATACTGATGAGATCAGATTAAAATAAAATTACTTCTAATGCAATGGGCGCAGCTGCTTGGTTACATTCCCACTCTACCCACCCATCTTGTATTTGAACCATTTTCTGTCTCTGGTGATAATATTAGCAGCAGGTAAATACCCATACAACTAAAATGGAGCCATAGTTGACACTTCTACTAGGTTTAGTGCTCAACTAAATACAGTCAGCAGTTCCATTTTCATCATTCATCTTGCAATTTTTTTTTTTTCCCCAAGCATCACCTTTTAGGATTGTGGGATTCTCAGCTTTCCCTTAATTAAAATGAAGAAGTTGTCAGCAACTAACATTCCAGGTATAAGCTGGAAAATCTGAAACCTCCAGACTCAAAAATGAAAAACCAAACCAACACATGGGGTGTAAAAAAAGACTTAGGATTAAAGTCCTTATCATGATTTTTGGTTGACTCACAGGTATTGAACCTGTGAAACTGGCTTCACTGAACACTCTGTACTAGCAATTCAAGATGACATGTATCAGTTAGAAGTAATTTTTGGAATCTGAAGGGCCAGCAATTTAAAAGCTAGTGCTGCAAACAAGCCACAACAACATCTGTAAAGTAAAAAAAAAAAAAAGCCCTGGAACTTTTTTTAAAATGTTTGGACAACATGATCGTGCCTGCAAATTCACAAGGTCTACATGCAACATTTTTGCACCACTGTAATCTAATCATGTGCTGTCCTTGGATTTTTTTGTACCCGAACAAGTCATTCTCCTGCGCTGCGTTAGAACGAAGCCGAGCTTTCAGCAAGCTATAGTGTGGTTTAGTTTTACTAGTGCAATGCATCAACCCTAGGGCTGGCATCCTAATGAGGACAAGAACTATGCTTTCATACAAAGAGGACTAGTTCCCCCTCCAGTCTGTTCAAAATATTGTTCACTGCTTCGAGCACACCATAGCTACAGACCCTACTTTTCCTCACAGTAACTAATACAAATGATACGAAGCGTAAGTCAGTATGCTCAATGTTTGGTGACTTGATTCCACATCACAGTAACTACTCTTGATTATTTACAAGAATCGCCACCTTTCACTTTACTAGCACTCCTTGTTTTCAGCCTGCCGTTTGCCCCTGTGCTTTGGAGAACCGCTAACAAAAAGCCCAGCGAGCTGCCCTGCATCTGCCCCGTGTCGTTCCTCAGAGCTTGGCTCTGCCGTGGGGTGTACCTGGCCTGTGACTGCTCACAGCAGGCTGCCAGCAACGAGACGTAAATCACTTCTTACATGTACAACATGACTGTCTCATTGCACCCCAAAGCTCTTATCTTCTCAGTCTGCTTGTTCCAGCATTGGTATTTGTGGTTTTAAATCCCCAGGCCAGGGGCTAGCCTGGAGGGAACTTGAAGAACCTTAGCATAATGTGTTCACCACTGAGACCCCAAGTTTATCACCTTGGCTAAAAATGCCCAGAAGTAGAAGGTTAACGTAGCAGCAGATTAGATGTTTCTTACTGTTAACAGAAGTTATTCCGTATAGCAGCTATCTCATCTCAAGGTAGAGCTAGACAAGAACTGTAAGAACAGAGATTCATCAGGATGAAAGAACCGTATTCATGGGAACACTTTTCATGGGCACTGCTCACAGGAAAACCTCCTCAGCTTCAGGGTGGCAGATCCTAGCAAGACAGATGACAAGCACAGAAGAACCGTGTGATTACGACCCATACCTGGAATACAAGAGCTCTTCTGGGAGGGAACCGGAGGGTGGTTGCCGTGATAGGTGAAAAACTTCCAGCTATCTGCTACATTTTGGCAGGGCGTGGAGAAAAATTTTACATAACAAAAGCTTTTGTTTTGTTTTTCAGGAGAAAACTCCACCCATTTCTATACTAAAGATTGCATTAAAAACAGGGAAAGAGAATTGAAGCCATGGAGGAAGAGGGAGAAAAGCCACCTTTTCCACAGAGAGAACAACATATCAAGCATTTGCCATACCAAGGGACCATCCCCTCTGTCTCAGGTTCTTGGTGTCTTCCTCATGTCAGCGGCCGTGCTACTCATTTCTGCCAGTGCATTAATGACAAAACTCAATGCCTAACACTGGGAGTTTAGATGCAACAAAAAAAGCTGGTCAGTGCCCCAGAGTTTATGAGAAGGGACAGAGCATCTTGACAGTACTACAGAACAGTTAAGGCACAAGGAAAACAAGAAGATTCTTTTATATTGTTTCTATTTCAGCCTGGGCAGGGCTAGATCACAGCAAGTCTTGACAACCCTCCTTGTTCAAACGCAGGTCTATTTGCTTTAATTAAAAAGCTAGGGAAAGAGTTAAAACTATGAAATGCTTGACTGAGGATGAATCTATGTCCTTGTTACTCTCATCCTGGATATTTCTTCTATTAAATACTTCACATGTAGACTGAGGAATGGGTACCGAGGGCCTTAGTCCCTTCTTGCCATTTGGAGGACTGCTGTAACAGAAAAAGCAATGTCCTATGCTAATACCTAACTATGGGAACTCAGCAGGCAGCCTCTAAGCCACTAATCTGAACATAATCCAGCTCTACCTTTGAGCAGCACCACAAAGGCAAAGCAGGGGTATTCATCCTCACTGATACATGTGCATTTATTTGAGTATTAGCTGAGAAATTATATAGGTTGGTAAGATCACTGTTTCCTGAATAGTAGCAAATCCATACATACAAAGATTGGGAGATTGTTGTGCAATTTGATTTACTTTATTTAGTAATAGTCCAATAGCTACAATGGTGAATTAGAAGAAAAGAAAAAAAAAAAAACTAAGGAAAAAAAAACAAAACAAAAAAAACAACCCCCTCCAAAAAAAAACCCCAAATCATATTTCCCCACATTTTGGGAAACAAGCTGAAGAAAACATTCTACACTGTAGAAGACAGCTCTAACTGCTGATATCCATGTGTTGACATTGGAACTGAGCAACTGCAAGCCTGCAGCGTACAGTCCTAAAGCCTCAACCAAAAGAGGCTTAATAGTAATAACATGGATATATCACCACTGGGAAGATGTTAACATGTTAAAGATTCTGGGATACCAATCTGGTATAATCAGCAACATACTGGGTTCCTATGAAAGATGTGGCATTTCTCTTTAAGGTCAGCTTTTAGCGAACTTTGAAAAATAATGTTTTAAACTGATTACATACAGTACTCCTTTGCTTGCAGAAAAGCACAAGAATTACAGTTGAAAAAACCAAAACTGAATACATGATCACTTTTTTTGACTGGATTTGATTAGTTGCATAACTTTGGCAAGATTATCACAGTGTGATCCAGTTAAGCTTTCAGGATTATACGAACACCAGCACCAAATTAATCTTGGAATCGAACAACTGAGATACTTATGCACTCTCATATGTCTCTGACCACTTCTGCAGTCTCTCCCGGTCCCACTGCTTCAGTTAGCATTTTGACAGTTAGTGCAGTATTTTATGCTATTGACAAAGCAACACAATCTGGACAGATTCCTGGCTTCTCTCTCCTCGCAAGAATAGCATGCCACCTTGTCAAACCCCCGAGGATGCAAAGTGGGATTATTCTACATAAAGTCTCCCTTTGTGGCATCTGAAATAAAAACCTTTCCCCCAGAACTGCCACTGTTTTGATAGTGAATTCCATGCTGAGTTGTACAACTGGTTACTCAGTTCTCTGGCTGATTTTAAGAATTGCATTTAAAAGTTACTCTACATTAGAGGCATTTAGAAAAGACATTTATACCTGGTATTGGTACTCTTTCAAGTACTCTTTTAGTCTTGTTGGTAATGGCAACTCCCAAATCCGATTTGTACATTTGTTTATAGTTACTCTGCAGCGGTGTTGCAGAGATGGAGCAGACGTATAGAGAGGTTTGTTCAAGTAAAGATGAACTGTTCCATTTGAAGGTGTTTCGGTTCTGTCCTTGCACATAAGAACATAGTACTCAATCAAATGCACAACGCTGTTGAACTGTTTGAGTCTGGATCTGACACAAGTGATAGAGTCCAGTCTAAACTTGCCATCTTGATATTCTATACGTAGATTGGTCGGTCCCGCTGAGGTTTTTACAGAAATCGTCAGTAGATACTCTGAATGGGAACTATCCCTAACCAAGAAGGTCCCTTCGGGGGCATCCTGTAATCTCTCTTTGGCTTCAGCAACAGTCATGTTGCCCCAGTACCATCCTGTTAAAAAAGGAGAGGAACAAGGGTTTTGTTTATTCCCGTTTGTTTAAAAAGCTTCTCTTTGGCCGATACACTTGCAATAACCCATTTCCTTCGTTGTTTGAAAGCTAAGTCCTGCAGGCACTGGAAATTTTTAGTTGCTATTTAAATTCATCTGCTTTACAACGCGTCTCGTTCTGACAGAGCCTTCCAGGTCACCCTTTATTTTCCTATCTACGCACACACACGCACGAACTTTCCTGCAGCGTCCTGCGAGGCTTAACGCCGAAGCCGCCGACCCCGCGGACCGCCCGTAAGGGAGCCGGGACGCGCCCCGCGGCTCCGCGCTGCGCCCACGCCGGGGCGAGCGCTGCGGCCGCACGGCACACGCCGGCAGCCCGCAGAAAGCCCGCTTTTGGTAGCTCTCGGCAGACTGCTGCCGAAGCGAGCTTCGTCTTAGCGATCAGAAGCGGCGAGGGGTACGAAAACAACTTCGGCGGCGGGGCTGCGGTCCTAGCCGGGGAGGCGGTGAAGACAAAAGCCCTTCCTTCCCCTCCGCCCGCGGCCGAGCCCCGCGTCCTGCGGGGCCGGGCGAGCC